CTCACATTTTTGAGAGTTAGGGAATTTTTAAAAGCCGTATTACTGGCGTACCCCCAAGCACGGTATCCATTAAAGGCACTGTTCACGAAAAAATGGTTTCGGAGATCTGCACATGGTTTGAATTCGACGCCCCGTCTGGTACCATTTGTGCAGGAATGAGGTCGGAAAACGGTCTGGATAGGGCACAATAAGGGCAGGAACAGTGGGGGACGGGAGGCCTCCGCCCCTCGCTAGGCTGACTACGAAATCTAATTGCCGCTCATCTCTTTCGCATTGTGCGAAGTTGTCTGCTTGGGTGTGTTGTCTGCTATTGCAGACATTGCGTCGCCTTCCTGCACTCGCCCGAATACTCCCTTAACCGCCGTTCTTCCAATGTGAAACTCGTCTAACCCCCTTTTCAGCTCTTTTTTGACCCTTTCTATTTCTTTTTGTTCATCGTTTTTTGCGCTTTTTTCGTTGTTATCGCTTTATTCTAGAGTAGTTCTATGAATTCCCGTCAAAAAAGGGTACCCTAAATTTATCGTAAACGGTGCCTTTAACTAATTGAAAAACATTTGTATGTTTGGTTAATTCGGAAAATAATATCTCACCGATTAAGTTCAAATCACTTCCATCGAACTTGGACGTCTTTACAATATGAGCACCAGCTGTCACAACCACAATAAACAGAACAAATATATTTGAAATTGGAGGCATCCAAAGTTATATGATGAAGGGTAACGGTCCGAATGGTAATCAAGGAGCGGGTGTCAAATACAGGTCGCTAGGTTGCGCCAAATGAAATAATCTCTTATCAAAAAGACATAAAACGGCGCAAAAAAAGTGCTGAGCAAGACATAAGCCTTTTTAAATAAACATGGTAATGCTTGAGATAGACAAGGCAACACGGCGGTGTGATTACTAATGTCGTTCAATAACAAATGCTGTGCGAAAAGGAAAAGCTATCCGAACGTCACCAGACCATCAAAATCTGTTTGAGTAAAGCTGAGCAAACTAAAAATTGTCTCAAAAATAGAAGAACGATGATCATTAACGATCCATAGTTAGGATAGCAGATTGGAGGGAATTGGCGTCCGATGTCCGTGGCTGCAGCGCCCAGACTAAGACAAAGGCAGCATAGAAAACGCAAAGTTCGGCCTATTCAAAGGAATGTAGTCCTCAAAAAAGAAGCAAAATTAGGGACTGGACGACGGTGTGACCAAGTTGTATAGGAGGGATATTTGGCCGACTGTCCATGTGTGTGTGATTTTGCGTACAGCTGACTACACTGAGCTGCTTGCGTGCAACATGTGCCTCCCGGTACGAGTAATGCAACCTCTACAGATTATACAACGCCGTGACAGCTCGTCTACCTCTGGGTGTGTACGACGACTTAGCCGGTTTTTAGGTCCTTAAAACCCCTTGTCTAAGCCGTTTTTAATCCGGCAGCGTTCCTTGTGCTAATCTTGCTCCCTTAGCATGGAACTCCATTGCTTTTCGTACCTAAGCATTCCATCTCGGCACCCCATTTCTACGGGTATGGTCCGATTCTATCGCCGTGGCGAGCACGTCTCCTAAGTGAAGCGCGGCGCATTATCTGGCGATCCCAAAATGGCGCTACACTGTCCCTTGAGGGCTCATTGATTGAATTACTTACTCGCAAGCGGATATTTTAATCAACGCACCATCGAGAAATAAAAATTAATCAGAAATTAATATAAGTACGTTCTTGCAAAATTGGTGCAATGGCAGGAGGCGCGCTATCACACTCATTTGGACACGGGTTTAAATCTCGGCTTCATATCCGCCTAGGCCAACTTAGCTTTCAGCCTCTCTTGGATTGGCCAATTCTCGTCTGGGAGGATAAAAGCACTGTCTTGTACATATATAGGCTGACCGCGGCAAGTCATTGCATGGGCTACAATATGCCATTGAGATTCTTTATTAAAGTTGAACGTGAGAGCTCACTCCTTCAGATGAGTAACAGAAGACTTTATTCTCTATCCTTTCATATAATGTCGCATATTCATTGACAAATGAGGAGAGTTCGTAAAGAGTAAAGAAACGTCTGTAAAGAAAGATGGCATGCAAACAAAACAAATCAGTTCGTTAGAATATTTGAAACACCTGCTTTGACCTGATGTTTTGTTAACTGCTGTTATTTCGCCGCAGTACGCGCTCCGAAAGTCTCACAAAGTTGGCGATTCATGGATAAACTCCGGCTTGGAGGGACTCGGACCCGTACTTGTCCTTTCCGGAAACCGTGCTCTTGCGCCTTACACACCAAGACC